GCGGCGCTGGGAACTGCTGGGGCAGGGCTGTGCATCTGGAGCACGCAGCAGATGTGCGTCGACACCACCGTAGAGCTACCTGACGGTGGCGAGGTGTGCAACATTGCCTTCAGCGCTGATTGTTTTACCCTCGCAACAGGGCTTAGGACTGGCAGGGTGCTGCTGTGGGACTTGCGAAAGATGTCCGGGCCGCTTCATGAGATACCATCACCAACGTCAATCAGCACCAACAACACAACATCAACGGGCCCCAGGGAGAGTCCTGTCGTCGCCTTCGACGGCTACGGCAAGTACCTGGCGGTGGCAGGGAGGGACATCCGTCTGTTCAATTGGGCTGTGGAGCCTCAGCAGCCGCTGTGTACGTTGAGCTCACACGTGCAGCCGGTTACCAGCGTCTGCTGGGGCGAGAACGCGCTGTCCCTCATCAGCTGCTCGACGGACAGGACGGTGAAGTTGTACGGCTCAGCGTGAGAGCCAAAAGGAAGGCGTCTTAACATGGAGCGTAATGCGCGGCTCAACAACGTGCGAAGACGAAAAAAAAAGAACAAGAAATACAATGCACATCAGCCTTACACATTCTCCTCCTTTACCCAATTGTGACTCTTGTTTTTTTGTTTCTCCTGTCGAGGTTATATCCATTTTGCTTCTCTATTCGTTCCTTTTTTGTTTTCTTTTTTTTTTTTTNGGGGGGGGGGGTGGTGGTGGTGGGTTGAGGGTTGCTGCACGCGCAGCGGAAAGAGATATGAAAGATGGGCCGCTGACGACTCCAGACGCGAATGGCGCGGCCCAACAGGAGAGGGAACAGCAGCAGCAGCGGCCTCGCTTCTTCCTTGGGGACGCCGCGTTCAGTGTGTATGAGGAGATGGCGGTGCAGCTGCGCCAGCTGGGGTGGAGCGAGACGAAATCCACGGCGCTGGTGGTGAAGTGCGATCTCGTGTTGGGTGACCGCTTCACGATACCGTACTCGCTGCTGAGGTGCGAGCGGCTTCTGCCGACTTCGCACTACGGCGGCTACCGCTGGCTCAATTACTTCCGCGGGTCTCACCGTCTCACCCTCAAGGCATCGATGGCGCGGCTACTGCAGGCCGCTGACGCCACCTGTGACGAGTGGATGCCGCGCTCCTTCGTGCTGGGCGGTGATCAGCGCAAGCGGGAGGACGACAGGGAGGCATTCCTGCAGTGGGCAGAGACCCACCCGGAGGAGATGTGGATCATCAAGCCTAGCAGTGGTAGCAAAGGGAAGGACATCGTGCTCACGCGTCGGCTTGCGGAGCTGCAGGCATTCGTCGAGTCCCGGGAGCCGAGCAGCCGCAGCATATTTGTGGCTCAGAAGTACGTGGAGCGGCCGCTGTTGTTGCGCGGCCGCAAGTTCGACATCCGCGTGTGGGCGCTGCTGAGGACGCCGTACGACGTGTACGCCTTCACACAGGGAAGCTGCCGCACATCGAGCGTGCTGTACGACCCTGACAACGCCGGCAACACGCTCGCGCACCTCACCAATCACTGCCTGCAGGAGTCCGCTGCACAGTTTGGGCAGTACGAGGAGGGCAACGAGTTGTGGCTTCCGCAGCTTGGCGAGTACCTGCGTGATGTGTACCACGACGACATTCTCGAGAAGCGTATTCTGCCGCAGGTGTCGAACATCATCGTGCGCACGCTGCTGGCGATGAAGGCGGAGATGGAGGTGCTGCCCGACGAGCCGTACAAGTGCTTCCAGCTCTTCGGCTACGACTTTATCATTGACGAGCAGCTCAACGTGTATCTGCTGGAGATCAACGGCTCCCCCGGGGTTGCGGCTGCTTACCTGCAGTCGGTGGTGCGCGAGACACTCGCGCTTGTGGACGACGGCGGCGGCGGCGGCGCCGCACTTCAGCGGTGGGACCTTAGCGTCGCGCAGTTCGTGAAGTTGTGGGGCGACGGTGACGCGCTGCCCGACGGCGCCGCGCGGCTCTGATGATGACACTGGCGATGATGTGTGCTTCTGGGGCAGGGGACCGACGATTGCCAACACACCACCCTCTCTGCCTGTGCCACGTTCTTCCTGCACGCCGTTCCCTTTTATTTTTCTCTCCCTGTCTCTCTCTGTCTTCCCTTTGCACACATATGTATGTATGTATATGTATTGTATATGGATGCAGTTGCCACGTTCTGAACACGGCACGATGCCAGACGACGCGAAGGACAACGACGCGCAGAACATCGACGAGGTGAAGAGCAGCGACGACGGGGCGGCGGAGCGGAAAGAACCCATCATGTCGCGTGCGGCCCGCCGCAAGGCGAAGAGGCCACCCGTCACGGTGACAGCGGAGATGAAGGAGGAGGCGCGGGAGCGGCGCCGAGAGCTGCGTAAGTACCTGCGCCTCCTCAAGTCCAACGGGGCGCGCAGGAAACTCGCGAAGCTGCACGCAGAGAAGCGGGCGCGCGACACCAGCGATGCGGAGGAGGCGTGCGCCCACTTCGACGTGGACGCACGGCCGCTCAAGAAGGGAAGACGCGAGTAACAGGCATATCCAGACACATATACACATACATATGCCCCTGTCATCAGTTAGGCCGATCTGCTAAGAGAATTACGTCTTGGCGTGTGTGCCCTCTTTGCCCATTCTTACACCCTTTCTGTTCGCCTCACGCACAGATTGGCACGTTGACCTGCGTGTGACCCTTCCTCTTTTTTTTTTTTTCTTTCCCTTCTTGATTGCTTGTGTGCTTGTTATCATTGCTCCATTTTGTGTGCGTCCATGTGGGGGACGGCAGGTAGTTGCTCGCAGGAGGGGGCAAAACAAAAAAAAATTAGTAATGAAGCAACAGCAGAGCCCTGGCGCGGGGCCCCTGCACGGTGTTGAGGTGCCGAAGGAGCTGCTGAAGGACAAGACGGCGCGCGAGAAGTGCACCATTGCGCGTGGCTACCTCTCTCAGTGGCGGCTGGAGCAGAACGAGCGGCCCGTTATTGAGAAGGTTGTGAGGGAGAAGATGATAGAGGACATTGGACAACAGTTGTGGCGGCCGCGTGCCTCGCCGCCGATG